TGGGAGGATGCCTTCCTGCAGGGAGCCGTGCTTGGGGGATTAACGAAAAGGGGAGAGAAAGCAAGAGCCCACGTGCTCTGGGTGCTTCACACCTGAGAGAGGCTGCTGGACTGCACCCAGGGTGGGAGAATGAGGTCTGCAGAAGGGACGGCAAGGGCTCAGCCTCAGCCCGGGCCCCTCACCCTCATCCCATTCTGCTTCCTCCCTGAGTTGACAAATGAAAGCTGGTATTTGGCACCTGCTGCCGATGTTCTGAGCGCGAGGCCACAGCCGGAGGCACAGAACACGGCCGTGCGCGGACAGGAGCAGCTCGGGGGAGCAGTGAGCATCTCCAAGCAGCCGTGCTGCAGCCGTGGGAAGGAGCAGCTCCGCCAGCAGGCAGCGACCAGGCCCTGACCCACTGCTGGCCTTGCTGGGAAATGGGACACGCAGCCGCTGCAGGCGATGGGGCATCGTGTGTCGGAGCGCTGCTGCAGCAGGAAACGCTCAGACAAGGAGAAAGGAAGGGACACGGCCAGGCCAGCACAGCTGGAAATGCGATGGGAGGCTCCGGCGCTCCTCCCGGCTGCACTGGGGGTGCAAACGCCCTGGGGGCCATGGGGGAAACCCAGTTCCCAGCGATGCAAGAAATCTCCCACCGCCCTTTTGGAAGCGCTCCCCTGGCTGGGATGCTGCCTTGGAGGTCTTTTCCAGCTCAGAGATCCCATCACTCCACAGGCCAGCCTTGCTGCTGCTCTTTCCCTCGCAGTGCTGAGTTCACGTTGCTGCTGGGGAGCTTTGACCCCTGTGGAGCTGAGGCCATCACAGGCACCACGGCAGCAGCGACCCCAAGGCGGGTGTCAAACCCCCCGCAGCTCCCACTGCCCTGCAGGAGGTGGGGATCAGAGCCTGCTGGGCAAAGCAGCGGCTCAGCATCCTGAGCACATCTCCCAGATTTCTCTGAAGGATTTCAAAGCGATGACAAAACGGCAATTTGTTAAATCAGCTCTGAAGGCTGCGGAGCTCCTGAAGAACTCCTGGAATGTCTGCAGCGCTGTGGCACTCGGGGTCAGAGCAGTTTATGTAACCCCCGTCCCCTCGTGCTGCCACCAGCACTGCTGGGATCTCCTTTCGCTGTCAGGCTTTTCTCCTCCCGCGTCGGATACGAAGAAGATGCACACAGATAAGAAATGCCAAGAAATCCCAACATTACAGAGGATCAGAGCCTCCCTTATGGGGGGGGGAAATAAAAAAGAAAGGAACCCATCTGTTATATAACCCCACTGCAGCTCAGCAGTGAGGTGATGGCAAACCGCATCTCAGAGACTCACTGAACCGAACGGCACCTCACACTGCTGCCAGCCCAGCAGTGCACAGCTTCCCTTCCCTGGGGGCGATGGGGAAACAACATCCAGGGGAAATATTCACGCAGGGACAGCGTGTTATAACGGATGAAGGAAACTTGAAGGCATTTTGCAGCTTCTTCAGCACGTTCTGCGTGAGCAGTGCATACAGCCTGCCCTCTGCTCAGAACCCTGCACGTTTATGGGGAGCTGGGTATCGCTATGCCTGCACAGCAGCAGCCTGCCCTGCAGCACTGAGGATTTCCCGAGCTGAACATCAGCCGAACGGCGCCGGTGAATGGCATTCATGCTTTGTGCACAGCACCCCTCCCAACCTCCCTCCCTGCATTTCCTTGAATAAACTCCTTTTCAGTTGGATACAATCACGTGTCTGCTCTTGCTTTAGACGTTTCTTACCTCCTGGCCACGCATCTCCCCATGTTGCCCGCGGCAGGACAGCTTTGCAGCTGCTCTGCTGGGTTTGGAGCTGCTTCTCTTCTCCGCAGCCGCGCTGCAAAGTCCTCACAAGCAGATTTTCTCTCTGGTTTTCAGCAGGAGGATTTGTGGCCACCTCAGCTCCGTGATAATGGGAGTGTGCCGAGCTTCCCTTCCACTGCAAGGCAAGAGGGCTGAAAAGAGATGCTAACGCAGAGCAAGAATGTCTGCAGCACGAAGCATTTGCTCTGAAAGCTGAACGCTGCATGCAGTGCACAGCACGGGTTCCCCTCTCCCAAACCTGTGTATGGACGACCCCATGTGCTGACCCTGCATGCTGACCACATCCCAGCTCCGAGCCCACCGAGCTTCAGCTCGCAGCTGATGTCATCACACCGACTCTTCAGCAGCTCCTGCAAAGAGCTGTTGAGATGTGAGCAAGTTTGCTACCAAATATGGATGACAGATGAAGCGCTGCTGCTGATCCGCGCTCTGTGTGTGAGACAAAGGGCTCAGGGCCGGGGTGGCTCTTAGCTCAGCGAGGCTCTTTGGCTGCTAGGGCACCCTACATTCCTGGCAGCAGCTCAGCGACCACAGGGCCCTCAATTAGCGCCGGAGCTGATTAACAACGCGCCGCTTTGCTGATCAGGCTGAAGGTTTGGGTGCCGTCCCTCATCTTTCAGGCTGGCACTCAGCAGCGCTGCTCTGAGCTGTGGCTGCGGGGCTTTGTGCTCCGCCCAGGGCAAAAGGAACGCTCAGACAGAAAGGAGCTCACTGGAGTCACCGCACAGCTTTAAACGAGGGCCAGATAAAAGGGTGGCAGTCGGCAGGCTGCAGGACCTGTGTGTGTGCACAGCTGAGACGCATCGCTGACATGAGGCCTCGTTGGTCGGAGACGTGGGAAGAGATTTCCCCCTACAGACCCCCCTCCTGGCACGGCACAGCAGCACCCCAACACCCACAGCACCCTGCAGAAAGCAGAGCGCTGCTTTCCAAGCAGGGAGGAACCCGTGTGCTGACACTGCTCTGATAGAGACGAACTGAGCGGCTGCTGCAGAAGGTGGGTTACATCCTGCTGCTCCACCAACAGCCCAGTTCACAAAGCGATCCTTTGTGACAGCAAAACAGACGGGCATTCAGCTGCGACGTGCAAAGGCAGCCGGCCCCGTCTGCTCCGCTCGGGGCAGCTGAGGCCGCACGCTTCGCCGCGCCGCTCCTCCACATGCGCCCATGCAGATCCCGGGTGGTCGAGAGGAGCTCCTCGAGGGCTCACTCTCCACATTCCTCCCTTTCGACGCCGTTGGAAAGAGGCTCTTTGTTACGCCGAGGTCAAACAGGTTGAAACCCCAACCTCTGCACCCCCCCATCCCCGCAGCACTGCAAAAACGCCGCCTCAGCCTGCTTTTCTGAACTGTATTTAATAGACAAAACCAGAGGTTAACAAACTCAAGGTACGTTCATTTTCTTCTTTTTTTTTTTTTTTTTGGTCCAAGATCTGCTCTGAGCGTTTATTTCAGGATGGCCTGCATCAAGCCAGAGCAAGGAGCGTTTTCAAGTAATGCATTATCATTTCTTCAGGAGAAAGGAGCCAAACCCGAAGCCTTGAAACCAACTGCAGCCACAGACCCCAGCAGAGGGCTGCCACACACGTCCTGCAAGGAACGCCTCGTCTCAAAGCAGAGGCGCACTGCTTGCACCGCTGGAACTGCCAGGGAACGGAGCGCACGGAGCAAAGTCCCAAAGCGTGACACAGAGCAACAAAAAGCAGGCATTTCTCAGCGTCCCTCAGATGTGAATGCTCATCGTGGCCAAAAAGACACTGCCAGGGGCAGTAAATACTGCACGTCCCCTGGTCCCCCCCCCCGTGTTTTTTTTTCTAATTATAAATTCAAGTTGAATGCCAAAACTGCAGAACGCCGCGGATCTGACCGGCCTCTCGAGCAGAAATGAAGCGGTGCATTTATTGCTCCGTCTGAACTCGGCCCCTCGGACGTGACAGGAGGAAGAGGGGTCGGGGATAAGGCATTGCTGTTCATAGTCAGAAGGGTTTTGTGAAGACCTGTACAGACAGCGTGTGTGCGCGGGGCCGGGGGAGCAGGGCTGCCACAGAGCAGAGTGACCACGAGTCCATCCAAGCACATTGCTTTGGAAACACAGCAATCTGCCCCAAAAGGGACTGGAACAACTGGGAGCCCCGGGGAGCGGGGTGTTATGCAACGAGAGAGCACAGAAACATCTTCAATATGTAAATGTGTTATGAGTTATGAGGCGTTTTCCATAGGATGAAAACACGCAGTGAGGGACCAGGGGACATAAGGACAAAGGGGACACGGGGAATGGGCATCTCAAACACCCCATGGGACAAGGGACCAGGGGACATGGGAACAAATGGGACCAGGGGAACGAAAACCCCCATGACCTTAAGGGACAGGAAGACAAACGGAGACAAGGAAGACAAATGGGATTGGGGGAACAAGCATCCCAGTGACCCCAGGGGACAAGGGACCAGAGGACATGAAGGACAAAAGGGACACGGGGAACAAGTGTCCCCATGACCTTGGGACAGCAATCAGGAGACAAGGGGACATGGAGACAAGGGGAATGAGTGCCCCCAAGACTTCATGGAACAGGGGACAAGGGACAGAGGGCAAGGAGGACTAAAGAGAACAGAGGAATGAGCATCCCAGTGACCCCAAGAGACAAACAGACCCAGGGAACAAGGGAACATGGGGACAAGGGGGGCAAATGGGACCAGAAGAACAAATATCCCCATGATCTCATGGGACAGGGGACATGGGACAAGGAAGACAAATAGCACCAGGGGAACAAGCATCTCAATGACCCCATGGGATAAGGGGGACAAACGGGATAAGGGGAAGGAGTATCTCCATGACCTCATAGGACAGGGACAAGGGGAGAAGGGGCACGGGGCGAGGACAAAAGAGACCGAAGGAACAAGCATCCCAACGACCTCAGGGGACAAAGAGGACCAGGGACAAGGGGGACAAAAGGGACCAGGGGAATGAGTGTCCCAGTGACCCCAGGGGAGAAGGGACACAGGGACATCTGGGTGAGACAGGCAGGTGGTGGCCCCCATATAGGCAGCTATGGGACGTTTGGAGCAGGGTGTTACGTAACGAGAGACCTCAGAAACCTCTTAAATATGCAAATATGTAGAACTACAAGTCATTTTCCACGGGATGAAGAAACGTAGCACATAACAGCCACAGCGTGACACTTCCATTTGTAGGTAGCACATCATTTTTATAGAAGGTACAGTCAAGAGCACCATCAGCAGACGTTTCCGACCCCCCCCCCTGCTCTAAGGGAGCAGATCTGGCTCCCTGGTGCTGTGTGTTCAAGGCACTTCTCAAATGCAGCATTGAAAGTTCTGACACTGAAAACAAACAGAAAACGACGACGAACCACAGTAATAAAAGGAGCAAAATGCTGACAGCTACCTACAGTTTTCTCCTTTCGTATAAAAAAGGGTAACTTCGGAGATCCAGTGTACAAATACAAAAATTGTGCATAATAAATGTACGATAATACTGTACATACAGCGTAAACCCTTCAATGAGAATGATTTAAATATACCTATTTGTCTCCTGGCTTGGAAGGCAGAAGAATAAAGTTGTACAGTCCTACAGTGCGCATATAAACACTTTCTTAGAGCTGGAATCGCTAGCCAACAGCATCCCTGAAAATAAGCAGAACCAAATATTTACTTAATGGAAGCCATTACTCAACGGGCTGCTGGTTGTGAGAAAAAGACAACATATAAACTCAGCCAAGGTCAAATCCAGACAGAGTTCTTCCCGTCCCCCGATTTGCTGCTGGCGCTGCTTTTGTTGGAGCCTGCTTTGGACTTCTTCTCTCTGGAGCTGCTGCTGGGGTTGTTTTGGTTGTTGTACGCCTGGATGGCCATGTCCAGGCGTTCCTGAGCCACTTTGATTTCCCTCTGCAGGTTTTCCAGGTCGGCGGGGATGTTCTCCTCGTTGCTGCCGTACTGCTGCTCCTGGGCGATGTTGGCTTTGTTCTGCCTGTAGGCCATCTTGGCGTTGGACAGCTCGGTGTACTGCATTTGGTCGGGTTTGACGGCGATGTTGTAGCCGGGGGGAGCAGAAGGTGTGTTCCAGGTGAAGGGGTAGTTGTAGGTCCCAGAGTCCTCCAGCTCTTTCCTCTTGCTGTTCAACGTGTCCCGGATGGTGCCAAACCCCAAGTGCAGCATCTCCCACACGTTCAACAGCAAACACATGCAGCTCACCCCGTACATTATGAGCAGGAAGATGGTCTTTTCGGTCGGCCTTGAAATGAAGCAATCTATCTTATGGGGGCAGGGCTTCCGGCTGCACACGAACACGGGGCTGACCTCAAAGCCATACAGGAGGTACTGACCGACCAGAAAGCCGACCTCAAACGTCGCCCTCACCAGCAGCTGCAGCACGTAGATCCTCATCAGCCCGTCCTCGCGGATCCGCCGCCGCCCGTCGTGCTTGGCTTTGGCGGGGGGCTGCTGCTCCTTGTTCTCCCGTTCGCTTTCCAGCTCTATTTCTGGGTACATCATCGGGTCCTCCTCGTGGTCGTCCTCGGCCTCCTCCAAGCCTCGGTGCTGTTTCCAGCGCGTCGAAAAGCTTTTGCTTCTGAACCTTCTGTCAACATCACTGTGCTCCACCATGCGGGCGATCTTGTGGATGGCATAGCCCAAATACATGACGGATGGAGTGGCGACGAGGATGATCTGGAACACCCAAAACCTCACGTGAGAAAGAGGAGCAAAAGCGTCGTAACAGACGTTCTCGCAGCCGGGCTGCTCCGTGTTGCACACAAACTTGCTTTGCTCATCATAATAAATGGATTCGCCTCCCACGGCGGTCAGGACGATCCGAAACACGATCAGCACCGACAGCCAGATTTTGCCAACGAAGGTGGAGTGGTTGTGGATCTCCTCTAAGAGACGGGTCAGAAAGCTCCAACTCATGGTGGTCAAATTATTTTACCTAGAAAACAGACAAAACCCCCAAAAGAGTTGAGTTGATGAGCTCAAGGCCGCATGCTGCAAACATGCAATTGGGAGAGAAAGGCTCAAATCTGACCACCAACGCAGAACTCTTCTGTGGAATCACCTGCTATCGGGAAGCTCCAGCTGCCAGGACTTGTCTGAAGACCTACGTCTCCTTTGCAGGCTTTTGGTAAGTCCTCTGTCAAGAAGTAAAGTAGCAGCTCTCTGCCACTGCACAAACAAATCTTGCTTCCAAAGCGGCTTCCATGCAGAAGAGAAAGGCATGGCTGCTCTGCATTTCTAATGTTTACACTTTGGATTGAAATCTCCTTAACGCAGTGGATCAGAAGCTCAGCTCCTGTGACATTTTATGGGCACCGCTGGCTGCGTCCCACTGCTGACACCAGGACTTGTTTTCACTGCTGAAATCTGAGCTAACAATGTTGGCCTCCACCACCCACGGCCAACAGAGAAGCACAGCTAGTTTAATTACACTGCATACCTCAGTGCCCTGAAAAAGGGAAGAAAGGACCCTACAGAGCAATGCCGGCTGTCTTAAGGTAGCAATGAGCCACTCAGCCAAAACCTGAGAGCAGGCAACTGCTGTTGACTCTGCTTCAGGACAGGACAATCCAATACAGACCATGAGCTGAGCAGTGCTGCCCTGCAAAGCCACAACTTACAGCTATTCAAGTTGTTCCATGCAACGACAGAGGTGTTCACAGGCAGCATGCTGAGGTCTGAGGCGATGCAATTAACGCATTGATACAGCATAGCAAAATCAGTGCATCAGTGCATCACCAGCACAACATCCACGCAGCCAATGCACCATCAATGCACCATCAATGCAACCATCAATGCCATCAGCGTATCATCAACGAATGAAATGATGCAAATTTACCTTTTGTGTGAAATTAAATGTTATACTGAAAAGTCATCAGCACAGCACAACATGGCTGGACTGGGTGGGTTGTTTGATTCGTTACTTGATGGCATGATGAGAAAAAAAATAGCATGATATAGCATCAAAAAAGCACACGTAACAGCCACTAGAGACCTTGGAAAACAATTCCCACATTAGAACAAAAATCAACTGCTCCCAGTTACAGTGAGCTCCACCAAGACCAGAAACAGCTCTGCACCCAGCAATCCAGGCCTGACAAATGCCACATGTGGTACAGAAGCCTGCAGACTGACAAATGGAAACAGAGTGTAACTGATGCAGATAAATACACAGCTTTGGAGGCTGAGCCCATTGAAACAAAATGCTTTGGCCAAGCTCAATGCAAGGACGTATCTCAGGAAAAGCACGAGTCATTGGGTAAGAGCAATCACTGGGTTGCAGTGAATAGGAGTCAGAATCCTCTGCAATACAGCAAAAGCAACTGATGCATAAGGGATCTCACCTCCTCGTTAGCAAGACGGCACGCCGTGCCGGTGTGTGCATCCTTCAGAAGTGGCAGGACGTCAGAGAGCGAACGCGTCAGCCTCGAGTCCATCTGAAGAAAGGGGAGGATGCCTGAAAGAGATCAGAGCTCCATTTGTTTCTGTGGGGAACGTGGGGAGAAACGGAGCAGGAAAAGAGGCAGAGCTGTGAACCGCTCCCTGAACTCACTTCAGGACGGAGATCGTTTCCCGTTCTGAGTGCCAGCGATTACACAAATGAGAGATCACAGCTCACCTACAGATGCTGACAGCGCAGACTTGACACTCAGATTAACCACAGCCTTCACAGCGCAAGGCTTATCAGCTGTGCGTTAACGGCGTGCGTTGATTAGGAGGCTCTCAATGCTCAGATTTGAAGCTGCTGAGCAGCTCTGCTTCTCCCTGGCAAGAAAACGTCACTTATTCTATATTTAGCGCCAGTCCAGAGGAAAGCTGCGGATACAAATATGGGAAAACACACCAGCAGCACCTTCTGTCTGTAAGGAAACCTTTGGGCTCAATGGAACGACCTCTCATTAACCCGCTGTCCCGCTGGAAACGTCCATCTCAATCTAATTAGAAGGAAAGAAGGAAGTCATACGCAGAGTTCTGAATTTCACATGGTTGTATCCTTCAGTTTCTGAGCTAGAGAGCAGCTCTGCCTTCGCAGATGTGCTGCAGGACCAAACACACGGCAGCAACCTTCACCCCACGTCCACTGAGTGCCTCCCAGATCTGCCGGCCCGGCAATATTTAACTCAATAATCTTCCACCGTTTGAAGGAGAAGCCGATGGACGCTGACACACATCTGAAAAAGGCAGAACGTCAGCAATTCCAGCTCGTTTAAAGATATGGCAGAAATGCATCCGAGAGAGAGCTTCACTCTGTGTCTGTGTCATGAGCTCATCCCCACGCTCGGCGCAGAAGCACTCGGTACAGGGAATGGATTTACAGCATTTTTCCCCTTAAAATATACCCTCCTGTGCCGCCCTAATTAAATCTGATTAATTTATTAATGATATATTAGTTTTGCTTTGTTTTTAAGCAGTGTAAAAAGATGCGTGCTGATGGGAAAAAAAAGTCCAGAATAAATGCATGGCAATTCCAGTGATAATCCAAAGTGGTTTCATGCTGCGTGAAAGTCAAATTAGGCCCCCGGGCTAATTAAGATAGGATTTGAATTAGGATGAATGCATAACTAGCATAATTCATTCAAATCTCATTTACATTCACCCGATTTTTACTACTCGAGAAGGAAGAAAGCGATGGCCAAACCCATCACCAGCACAGCACCTCGGACGATGGAACCACAGATCTGGGCAGAATAGAACAGCAGGCTGAAGAGAGGTGGAGAAATAATCAGATTCTTGTGCTGTCAAAAAAATAAAGATGTCAAACACGCATCTTTTGGAAAGCCAACACGCGTGTACCCACCAAGCATTCAGCTCAGAGATGAGCTGGAGCTCGCAGATAAGAGCCGAACCCCCGGTAGCCTCCGAGTGCCCCCCAGTAATGCCAGCATGGAAAGCCAAGTGACAGTTTTAGCATCGCTCCCCCGCAGTGACACAACTCAAATGGAATTGGGAGATGTGTTGTGCTGGCCAAACTGGCATTCATTTCACCTACAGCAACGGGGAGCTCCAGGAAGAGGTATTTCCAGGGCGGTGGAGGTGAGCTGTCGGCTCTGTGCCGTCTCGCGGGGTTCTGGGATCCTACAGACCCGAGATAACAAGGAAGTTCAGCAGCAAGCCCCAGGTGATGCTGGCATTCCGATGATGTGAAATGTAATAATGGAGAAAACAAGCTGGTCAGCAGATTTCATGAGAAGGCAGGGTGTTATCTGACAGCCTGTGAGATGGAACAGCTGGTCCTGGGGGCAACGAGCCACAGCATAACCCAAAGCTGGGACTGCAGCTTGCCACGTGAGCTGCTCATCTGCCTCTCCATGACTTGAAAGTAAAGAGTAACGGGGCAGGGGATGAAAAGGGCAACAACGCCTTCGTGCAATAAGATCGAATCTGAACCTCAAATCCGTCAAGAACAAACAACCAAACATGAAGGTCTGCGACCAACACCCAGCTCTCGGACTGCCAGCAAACAGCACTGCCTTATGGCATCCACAGATCAGCAGCAGATCCTCAAAATGACCACTGCTGCCAACCCCAATGACAAACCCATTGAGTGAGCACAGTTTCAGTACAGATTCAGGGCCACAGAATATTTCTGATCAAGCTCTTAGTTCCCCTTATTCCTCTCAACATGGATTCCATTGGGTTTCTGCAAGATGATTACAGTTGGACAGGATGATCCTAGAGGTCCTGTCCAACCTTAATGATTCTGTGACCAGAAACACTCAGCTCTGCTCTTCCAAATACCCAGGAGTGCTCTCCAGCAGCTGCTCCCACCTGGACACCTCGTGAGGGAGCAACACAGGACACAAAGGTCCTGAGATGAGCGTGCCCACAAGCCCAGCATCGAGCAGACACCAACACAGAATCACCCATTCAACTAATTTACTTACAAAGATGCTCAGCCCCCAGTTTTTCTTGTACCAATGCACGTTACCCCCAAAATGTACAATATTTTGCCATCAGGCAGTTGACACTACAAATTCAACCTCCTGATTTCATACCACAACTCTGACAGAGTTCCAGGGCAGGCTCCCAAGCTCTGGCTACAAACACAGACATACCCCACTGCTCCATTTTTGGGACAGAGAGGAGCCACCAAGTGCAGCCACCAAACCCACAGGTCTGGCAGGGGCCAGGCAGGCAGATCCAGCCCACTGCTACCAACCAGTGCAGCTCGGCAGGACTCTGCCCAGTTGGATTTCCTCCAAGAATCCACAAGCTCTCTAGACAACCTGTTCCAACACCTTCAAGCAGGACTGCTGTGTTTCAGTGCCCGCTGGGTGCCAACCCATCGCTGGGTGCCACACAGAGGAGGCTGGGACTCAAGCAGCAAAACTACTTTTCCTGTAAGAATGAACACAACGATGGGGGGATGTGTTACAGGGTCTGGAAATATACAGGAGAGCAGCACGGTGCCCCTTCCACCCCGTGCTGGATGGCAGCCCAGTAGGCACGCTCAGGACGCGCATCGCAGCACGGTGTCCCACTGACGTCCCCATACCTGAAAGCAGCCCTGAGGACGGATGGGGGCTCCCACGCCGAGAGCCGGGACACAGTGCTGAGATCAGAAGGAAAGCACGTCTGAGCAGCCATCAGGGAGATTCCCCCCGAAGTGATGCAGATCAGCACAGCACCCCTTTAACGACTCCTGATCCCACTGCGGCGCTTCCCACCGCGCTCCTCCGGCACGCTCACAGCCATGAGTGTCAAAAGAAAGTGACACGCTGGAGGCAGCTGACCCAGATATCACTCTCACGGCCATTTCAGGAGAAAAGAGAGAAGCCCAAAGAGAGCAGTGCTGTCTGCTCCTGTAAGTCGGATGGCTCTCGCAGAGCCGAGCTGGAGACGATGGGTGGGTAACACCTCATTCACCAGCACTGGATTATGGCAGAAAGGAAAAAGCAAGCTGACTTCTACTGATAGAACACGCAGCAATGCTAAACTTCCCCCAGTTTCTTATCTCCAGGCTTTCAGTACTTGAGGAGTATGGGCACAGAATCACACAGAATCACAGAATGGCCCGGGTTGGGAGGGACCTCAAGGATCACGGAGCTCCAACCCCCTGCCACATTTCATGGCAGCCCAGGCTGCCCAGGGCCCCATCCAACCCGGCCTTGAACACCTCCAGGGATGGACGGGGCATCACAGCCTCTCTGGGCAGCTGTTCCAGCCCCTCACTGCTCTCATAGCAAAGAACTTCCCCTGACATCCAACCTCAATCTGCCCTCCCTCAACTAAAGCCATTTCCCCTTGTCCTGCTGTTATCTACCCTTTCCAAGAGTTGACTCCCTTCCAGTTTTTAGGCTCCCTTTAGGTACTGAAAGGCTGCATGTCTTCACACAGCCTCATTAAGTTACTGAACTTCTTGCTCACGTTGCACCCCTCTCCCAGCTGGAGCTCACAGGTGGCCCAACCGTGTCCTCGTGGAGAGGCAAACAAAATTCTGCTTTCCAAAATACTCTGAGCACAAAGGATGCTAAGCAGCGCATGCTGGACCACAGCTCATTCACTCAGGAAAACATGGGCTGACCACAGAACAAGGCAACCCCAACGATTCCCTTAGCAAGGCATCCCTGCACCCACCCCACCGCTACTCTGCTGCTTCAGAGGCTCCTCAAGAAATACCCAGAAAGCCCCACCAACAGGCTGACTGCTTGGAGCTGCTAGAAGAGAGAACAGTGACACATGGAAAACAAAGCCATTTCCCCATCTCTGTACTCACAGAGCAAGAAAAAGGCGCAGCCCCACTCCTCGAGGGACTCCTCAAGACAACAGTCCCAAAGCAAACCTACAAATTCTACATCTCCAAACCCAACACTCATACAGGACAAATGAAATCGCGTGAAAATATGGGGTAGAATCATCAGGCAGCACTTTTTGCAGGAGAAAAAGCCAGACAGGATTCTGCACGGGGACTTCCAGCGCACAGCAGCAGCGCACACTGCTGCCTTTTACAAGACTTGCTGCTGTCTCTCAAAGGCTCCTTGCCAGGAAACCACAAGGCCATATTGGCACAGGGACTGTCCCAAAGGGAGGAACAACTGGTGAGTGATAACCAAGAGAGTGGGAGTAAAGAGTCATTTCCTGCAGAGCAGAGAGGTCACAGCACAGCCTATGTCAAGGATTCCAACTGCGGAGCACGACGGGAGCGGAGACTTCCAGTGAGCCAGGGACCAGAGATGAGCACATGGAAGATGAGTGGGTGCTGCTTCTGAACTCTTCAAAGCTCCTTTAAATATCCCAGGAATCAGTTTCCAGTAGGAGGATACCTCTCCTTCTGAAAACAGCTCAACTATTTGGAAGTCAGCTGCGGAACGTCTGCGTTCATTAAAACTGAGCCATTTGTTAACCACCTAAGAAAGGTTTAGTGTGAAAACCACATTCCTCTTTTCAGGAGCAGCACACCAGCAAGGCACACATCTCTCAGATGTAAGAACCTGATTGTTTTATTTTTAACCCCATTTGAAAGCACCCTCACACACAGAGCCAGCCCAATGCACGCCAACCACCACCCGAATGCTAAGCCCAAGTCCCCAGACTGACAGCTGAGCACTCAGCCAGGCTTCAGCAGGTCACCAGGAGTCAGAAACACCCTCAAGAAAGGGGGAAAAACATCTATGAGCACAAGGAATCACCATTCTGGGCCATTTGTTGAAGCTCCGTGACCTCTGTTGGAGCTCCATGGTCATTACTGGAGCTCAAAGACCTGCTGGGGCTCAACCGCCTTTGTAGGAGCTCAAAGACCTGCACTGAAGCTCAACAATTTCTGTTGGAGCTCAAAGACATTTGCTGGAGCTCAGTCACCTTC